CGACATCCAAGATCTCAAGTCCGACAAGAACCAAACGCTGGAGAGGTATGAGAGACAGATTGAAGATCTCAAATCCAACAGGGACAAATTCATCAAAGCGCTCAACGACCAGTTGCAGGAAATGAAGCTGAAAGCTTTGAGCGAAGAAGCGAAAATGAGGGTCATTGTCAACAATCGAGCGCTGATTGAGATCGCGATAGCACGGTACGACTGCACCGTGTCTCTTACGGAGGGTGTCAGGACGTTTGTGATGGGCCATTTGTTGGCGGGGCCGAAGAATACGTTGAGTGAGTACAGCAGGAGAGTCTGCGGGCAGCTGCGACACTTTGGCTTCGCAGGCAAAGAACAATCTGTTTCGAAAGAGCTCGCAAACTTGATGCACGAGATCTCGAAACCGTTGCACGCTATGCAAGTATCGAGCACTATCGACCGAGGGTATGTGGTAGGAGGGGATCAGCCACATGCAGAAGCGCTTGCGATCATGATCGCAAAACTGCAAGAAACAAAGCTCGTCGAAGGCCTGGATGTGCTGCTGGTGGACGGAAGAGGAAAATGCCGATGTGTGCTGAGGGACGGAGAAATATTGGCATACAGTGGCGAGTCAGGTGACGAGTAGTCTAGGACTAGGTATATTGTGGTACACCGGACCAAGGCTGATACCGCAGTGAATGTATGTTCTAGTAAACGCAGCAGTGATTCGGTTCAAGATTTTCTGAAGTCTCAGGCCCTCCAGTTATGCTCCATGATCGTCCCCTTGAAGTTCCCGCGATCATCGGAAGGTAGCTGTCGTCCAATCAGCGATCTCCGAGGCTCTGTGCTACTGTCAAGAGTCTCCATCAAGCTAGTTCACTGGGGTCTGAGTCATCCGCCGAAGTTTCGGATTATTGGAGATTGTTCAGAGCGCCATTTACTGCTGTGGCAAGTTTCACGGCCCTGTCACAGTACATTCTGGGGTCAAACCGCGTTGGTTTTTGCCCTATATCTTCAAGGGGGTGGTGCATGGGAAAATGGGGGTACACGGCGTGTGATTTGCGCAGGTTGAAATTTTGTACTGTTGAAATTCAAACCATATTCAAAACCGTGATTAAAAGTGATTTTGGAAGTTTAGCTTATCGTTTCTTGGTACCTTCTAAAATGTTTTAATTCTACACGCCTCCACCCACTACCCCAGCGCGTCTCCCCTCACCATTCTGCTCTCATGTCGCGAAGCTCTTCTCTGCCGATCCTTGTCTTCAGTGTTTGAGTTTTGTGCGAGCATGTTTGCCCAAGTTGCAGTCACTTGCAGCAGGTGAGCCTCATCAATATTTCTCTTCGTCAAACCCGCTGTGCCGGTTGGTGAAAATGTTACAATGCCATAATCTGTTTTCAAAGTTTGGTTTGTTGAACGCATCCATTGATGGGGACGAGTATACCACGAACACACACGAGCATGAAGAGACTCGAAAGTATTTTGTGAGAGGAAAAGGTGCAAATGAACTCATTACATCACACAGTTAGAGAGTTCTGCTGTGGATTGTTCATTTTTTAATCGTTGTGAACAAGTAGCAAAAGCATGGCGATGTTGATAACTAGGTTCTGAATGGTTGCAGCTGAAACGCACATGATTACAAGATTCCAAGACCTTTATTCCACGAAGACCTTCATCTTCATGTACTGGATGGAATATCATATTTATGAGAGATGCTTCACTGTGCCACATTACTTGTTCACATCATGTTTGTACTTCTCCGCCTTTGAATGATGCATCTCTTGTTGCATGACTTAAAAACCACTTTGTGAAGATGCATAGTCTTGTATA